AGGGTGGAAACTGGACTTTTATAGTCAGTTAACTCACTTGCCTCGGGAAGATGAGTGACAGTCGACTCACGGGACTAGGGACACACGGTCATACTCTGGCCGACGCCTGCCTTAGTCCGTGTAATAAAGACCCTCCTTACACTGAGACTTGTTCCTTATGTATGATGATCCCCCCGCGCCAGTCTGGTAGGGACTGCAACAAGCACCATTAAGTCACAACCTGTGTCAATCACCCAGAAGTATCAATTATACGACTGAGTCTCTCTCATTAGGTAACAATATTTAAATAGATTATGTCACTCCCGTTAAACTGTATTGGGTTGTTTAACACTGGAATATGTTTCTTTCGATGTGTGAATAGTGATATTGTTTGTTTGAGTATGAAGCTTCATAAAACTAAGAATTGACTTTCTTTTTGAGTGAGCTCACTGGAATATGAACCTTCATAGAGTGAGGGCCATCGTATAAACATCGGAGCATGAGACGACTCACACAAAGTGTGAGTCTGTTCTGAAATTATAATTTTTTATGACGCTATATTATACCACGATAACATCAGTAAATAATCGAGTCTGGACCTGACAATCCAGTGATTGGGATACGACAGTAACCAAGTCAGCGAGCCTGACCACACGATCCCGTTAGTCGCCTCATACGACAAGCATAGTCGCCTCTTACAAGAGGCATATACCTCGAAGGATGTATACACAATTTGATTTAGCACGTGTGACTTCATGTTTACACTGACAGCCATACATCAACCAGTTGTATCGCGGAATAAAATAGTTCCTCAAAAGGAGAGGTGACATGAGCGTATATATGGTAATTACTCTCCAGGAACATCTTTTGTAGTTTGATTACAACAAATAGATTCAAATAATATCATCATTAGATGACAATGGTCTGTTAAGAACTAACTCAGTAAGTCAGTCAGCGTGACAGCGCGTCGTAATACATGTACAGGATGTCAAAATGGTCGACACAATAAACGTGACGGGAGAGATTTCCGAAATTGTTAATGAACCTGTGGCGATAACAAGTGTTGGTCATCATTGATCAATTGCCGGATTATTGAAATTATGTGTCAAATGGATAATGAGGTATATTTATAGGTTGTTGTAGATTGTCACTGTCAGTCAAGACACGGATCGAGTCCATAGGTTGGATGTGTATTTCTTTGTTTTGTTCACGAGGAACGAGAATATTCGTGTACAGGCATATAGCCAAACACTCTGACTTTTCCCAATGTATGCTAAAACGCTGTGTTCAAAATTAAAGGGTCTAAACACAGAAGTAACGCTTCTGTATGTATTCGTGCTATACGCTTATATACGGCAGTTTCGCGGTCACGTGACAAGCATCTCGTCCAATGGAAAAGCCGTTTGTCGTGTAAAGTTCAAACTAAAAATGAAAAAGTAATAATGATCATGATTACCGCCAGACTGTTGTGTAACGTGATCGTCACGTGAACAAGTGAAACTAGGAAATAATTATATAATGAATAACATAAACTGTAGCTTGTGTGAATGTTCACACTGGTGATGTGCGTAGATAGAGTGTGACAATGTCTTGTATGCAAATACTTTGCCAATCGTACTTGACAATGCCTATCGTAGGAGGCGACTAACGGGATCGTGTGGTCAGGCTCGCTGACTTGGTTGATGCATGTCATCGATCCCAATTGCGTGGATCGATGCTCATGATATAAGTCACTGGATTGTCTGGTCCAGACTCGATTATTTACAGACCGCCGTCATATAGCTGGAATATAGCTGAGTGCGGCGTTAAACAACAAACCAACCAACCAACATCTTTGAAACGCCGAAAAACCAACATGGACATAATATCAGCAGCTGATATTTTACGTCCGTCGCCGTGGTTGGAATATTGGAAACTGCCCTAGTGTACACCGTTATCAAATAAAAAAATCGCATGGTCATATCGATTCTGCAAAGAATATAAAATCAAACGATTTACGCTCCATCAGCAATATATGCAATTCTCATATTTACCACGGAACACGCTCTGATCCACTGGATCTATAGGGACCTGGTGAAACCACCTGGACAACCCGCTGCCACGAAGTTAGTTTACCTAAGCCTTGTCTCAGGATGTGACGGGAGCACTTCCAGTGGTTTGTAATGAAGATTCAATAGTTGTGCCCCTTGGGGTATATAGTTGGTTACCTTGGAAACATCAAACAGCTGTCCGTGGTCGGCTGGGTCCCTGGGGGTTGCCGACAACCCTGAAAGATTTAATTTGCTTATCACGCATGTCATCAAATATTCAGGAAGGTACATCCCCGACGAGCTCTGTCCTTAACTACAACTGTCAGTGTATTATAACTGTACTGCCATTGTGCTTCGGGGTATAACCAGTTTACGCAGTTGTCATAGATGTATTAGATTGTGAACAAATGTACTCACTACTTGTATGGTATATGTGATATATCACCCGCCCGTCTACCCCAGCAGATCGTAGTGGGGTTCTACCTTGCTCTTGGTACTGGTGCTCTGTAGTGGGGTTCTAGGGCGATCTCAGAACTGACGGCACACTAGGAGATTATTAGACGCTCTCGAAACTGATGGCACTCTTGGAGGTTCTACGACCCTCTCAGAACTGATGGCGCTCTCTGAGGTTCTACGACGCTCTCAGAACTGATGGCGCTCTATGAGGTTCTACGACGCTCTCAGAACTGATGGCGCTGTATGAGATTCTACGACGCTCTCAAAACTGATGGCACTCCAGAAGGTTCGAAGACGCTTTCAGAACTGATGGCACTCTTGGAGGTTCTACGACGCTCTCAGAACTGATGGCGCTCTATGAGGTTCTACGACGCTCTCAGAACTGATGGCGCTGTATGAGATTCTACGACGCTCTCAGAACTGACGGCACTCTAGCAGGTTCTACGAAGCTCTCAGAACTGATGGCACTCTAGGAGGTTCTACGACGCTATCAGAACTGATGGCGCTCTATGAGGTTCTACGACGCTCTCAGAACTGACGGCACTCTATGAGGTTCTACGACGCTCTCAGAACTGATAACTCTCTATGAGGTTCTACGACGCTCACAGAACTGATGGCACTCCATGGAGTTCTACGACGCTCTCAGAACTGACGGCGCTCTATGAGGTTCTACGACGCTCTCAGAACTGATGGCGCTCTATGAGGTTCTACAACGCTCTCAGAACTGACGGCACTCTAGGAGGTTCTAGGTTAACAGTGAAATCATATCACTAAACCATTGTTGCACCAGGGAGTTAGTAGGCAGCGGAATAACCCGAGTGAATCTGAATGCCCATTCCCAAAGGCGGTCAGGATCTAGGGTCTGGGGTCAGTGTTCAGTCTAGACGTAGACTAATCAGCGACGGCGTGAAGAGGTCATTCCGATCAGTTGCACCTTCTTCCGTTTAAACCCTCAGTTATCATTACCCCATGACCAGCTGATAACGACAGAATTAACTCAACCTGCATCTGTAATAGGACAACATATACTCTCCCAAAAAATGTAGGGTACATTCGAAAATATACTAACGATTACAGAAATACAAATAGGTACCGATCGATAGTAATGGGTGGGTAATAAAAATAAAGGACTAGGTGTAACATGCCAATCACCTGAACATATTGGTAGTGTCTTATAAGGGTGCAAACAACCAAGAAAGACGACAGGGGAGACTCTCTCCAATCATCTTGCAGCGCCTAGCCCAGTTCGGCTGACGTAGCCGGTGGCCTTTGACGTCGCGGAACAAGTCTCCTGGTCATGTACCAGGCGTGTTCTATGGTGAATGGCCAGGACTGGCTGACGGATTACATTCTGGGATGTTTTGCTACTGGAGGTAGGTTACGATACGTGGACGAAGGCACGATTCAAAGACATAACATGACACCACCGTGGCGCACAAACGACAATACTGTTGGCGCCAATAGCGAGAGAGAGAGAGAGAGAGAGAGAGAGAGAGAGAGAGAGAGAGAGAGAGAGAGAGAAAGAAAGAAACAGACAGACAGAAAGAGAGAGAGAGAAAAACAGACAGACAGAAAGAGAGAGTGAGAGAGAGAGAGAAACATAGACAGAAAGAGAGAAAAACAGACATTCAGAAAGAGAGAGTGGCAGAGACACACAGACAGACACAGAGAGGGATCCAGAGAGATACACAGAGAGACAGACAGAGACGCAGAGAAAGAGTCAGAGAGAGAGAGATAGAGAAAGAGAGAGAGAGGGAGAGAGAGATAGAGAAAGAAAGAGAGAGAGAGAGATCCCTCCAGATTTCAGGTTTACATCTTTCCACAATACACACACATTCTAAAAGCATCAGTGGCGCACGGACAGTACACTGAACTAGCAATAACAATCTAGTTGTGATTTGAGAGAAAACAAGTTGAGCAATAGTGTAGTTTTAGTTTGCCCATCAATTGATTGACTGAATGTGATATTTCCGCCGAGCAAAAATGACAGCATTTCATCTTCATTTTGCATTTCAAAATTGATCACCGTACTCATATCAAGAACATCAATAAGTATTTAAAAGAAACTGTTTGTTTGACACAAGCGAGTTTCAGAATGTAATGTGACATGTTGGTTCCCTCCCAACAGTCAGACAGGCCATTTGTCATACACCTTGTTACTGCCAATCGTCATACAGTTGAGTAGGGGGGTAATTAGAGCACCCACCTTAAGTTGTAATGGTATGACCCAACACTCTGAGTTAAGGTCTTTGTTACAACAATGTTAAATTCATAAAGGGTGAGTTGTTGTGAGCTGGTTGAGAAGAGGGTATTAAAATGACCAAAGTCACTGTAAGTTCTTTTACTAGCAAATAATTAACATGTTGTTTTAATAAATACTTTGCCCTTTGAGGTTAATAAATGTAATTCATGTAATCCTATGAAAGGAGACTAGATATGTTTGGGATGTGAAACTGTTTAACTGATGAGATGTATTTTGTGATCACACACATATGTATAAATACTGTATCAATTGCTTTTACATCATTCACAATCATGGCTCTGCGACTTGTAGAATACGTTACGTCAGCCCGCGGTACCCAGCGGGTTATCTTTGAAGGATACTTGTTCAACAAGAATGCAACAAGACAGACAGCACAACACTGGCGTTGTGTAATTAAATCTTGCTCCGGCAAGTGCACTACTGTTGGTGATTTTGTTAGGAATGTGTCAGAGCACAACCGGCCCTCAGAGAATTCAAACCGAGTTCGTTTTGTCAGCAACATGAGGAAGAGAGCAAGAGAGGAAACAACCCCGATACAGCAGCTCTACAACCAACAGATCGCTGAAGAAGATGATGACCAAGCCCAAGCCCTCCCTGCCTTCCCCAGCATGAGCAGTGCCCTTTACCGACACAGAAGGAAGACCATGCCCGTCCTGCCCTAAACCAGAGCCCAAGAGGACCTAGATGATGCCTGGAGCCATCCTCCTATTCAGCGATGGAGAAGAAAATAATATCCTTGCCTTTGCCACAGATGAGCAGCTTCAGATCCTACAAGGTGCCGAGACGATATACATGGATGGTACCGTTACAGCCTGCCCTGCCCTGCCCTTTGAGGTCAAGTGTAGAAGTGGATCTGCCAGCTACGAGGGGTGTTCATTAAAGATTTCCCCTAAACCACTTAGGGTTATCATATTTGGTTGAAATTTCACATGTGTAATGATACATGTGTCTATGGGTTATGTCTGAATTTGCAGCACCGAACTATTAATCTTACCACTTTTACAGGTGTTATGATCGAGTAGGGTGTGACAATGGAGCCAGTAGAATACCGAGCAGTGATTAGGTTTTTTTATTTGAAAGCTCGCACACCAAAAGAAACTTTCGATGAAATGAAAGCAACTTATGGGGAAGATGCCCCATCATATGACGTTGGCATCGCCAGTACAAGTGTGGTCGGACATCTGTGGAAACAGCTGCCATTCCTGGTCGCCCCCATTCAGCCATTGATGAGGACACTATCCATCAAGTGGAGACCGCCATTTTGGCAGACCGACGTATAACTGTTCGCCAGTTAGCACAAGATGTCAAGATCAGTGTAGGGTCTGTGGAAAAGATCATCCATGACAATCTGAACATGCATAAGGTGTCTGCACGATGGATTCCCAGGTTGTTCACACCTTTCCAAAAGCAGGAACGAGTCAATTGCTCAAAAGATCTTTTGGACATGTGCCAAAAAATCCAGGCAAACTGTTTGGACAGACTTATCACACAGGATGAAACATGGGTCCATCACTATGATCCTTAGACTAAAGTTCAGTCGATGCAATGGAAGCATGTGGAGTCACCACCCCCAAAGAAGGCACGTGTCCAACCTTCTGCAGGCAAGGTCATGCTCACGGTGTTTTGGGACCAGCACGGAGTAGTGATGATGGATTTCTTGGCAAAGGGTACCACAATTACAGTAGCTTATTATGCTTGACTGCTGCGGAAATTGCGGGACGCTTTCAAGCTTAAGAGGCGTAGCATGCTGACCAAGGGTGTCCGTCTCCTGCAAGACAATGCTCAAGTACACAATCCAATCCAGCTCTTGATACTGCAGGTCACATATTGAAGCTTGGATAGCCATTATCCGCCATTATGATGCTTTGAATGTTGAATTATGTTAATTCTTGTTAAAAATGGTTCATATTTATAATATTATGTTGAATAAACCATACTAATTTATTAATTACTTTTCTGCTTTACAATTTGTTTTCTTACAATCTGCAAATGAATTAGCACAAGATCATTCATAATTATAATCCTGGTGTTCCCTAAAATTCAAACTTAAACATAAACACGGTTAGTGATCTGTGTGGAACAGTCCATATTGATAGGTTGAAAGCAGGGTAATAGTGGTCCAGTCATGCATATCCTATGTTGTTATAAGCTGTATGACAAATGGCCTGTATGACTGATGGGAGGATACCGACATGTTTGTTGTAGTCCGCGATAGTGCTTGTGAGACAAGTTACACGCCGTAGACTGTTTAGGTCGACGACTGGGGTACCCAGCACCTCCACACCTATCCAGAAAGTCAAGAATAAACTACGACATGGTATCTCAGTCGCCTAGCACTTTAAGATCCGGCATAAGTCTGTACTAGTATCAAGCACGAACACGCACACGCACACGCACACGCACACGCACACGCACACGATATGTAAGCGAAACGTGACGATACACCTCCTCTTCACCTCACCTAGTATTGTTTGTTTGTTAGTTTCTTGTTCAACACGCACTCTGCAATAGTCCAGTTTTATGACAGCGGTAAATAGTCGAGGCTGGACCAGACAATCCAGTGGTTGACATCATAAGCATCGATCCACGCAATTGGGAATACGATGACATGCATCAGCGCGCCTGACCTCCTGGAGCCATTAGTCACCTCTTACGACAAGCATAGTCGCCTTTTACGGCAAGCATGGGTTGCTGAAGCCCTATTCTAACCCGGATCTTCACGGGACTTATGAAACCAAGAAGACAGTATGTCAAAGAAGATTACTTCCTTTCAAATTCCTAGTCATGTCCACCTAGTCACGGTGTATCTTTGATAAACAGAAACTGAAGATGCGAAGGTTAAACATTACTTCGTCAGATTTGATCCTTGTCCTACCAGCAACTGAAAACCGTATCATGGCTTACCGTTGCTGGTGTGTCAATTATTTCCAATTTTATTACAACATAAATTGGAGATGCTCAGGAGATGGTTCCAACACCACACTGATACATCGCATTACTGCGACCGGCACTTGCCTGATTCGATTAGAATACAAAATCAGAGGAAAGACACTAGTAATATCATGTTTCAGAGACCTTATTCAAAACTGCTGTTATTGCACTTTTGCAGTGCACAACGCAGGTCACACGTTTCTAAAACAGTGCATGTAAGTTGTCGATGAAATTCCCAGTCTGGCTGCTATGTGTATCGGGATTTGGTTCTTAACGTCAAACTCTGTTTTAATGTGAGCAGATCATCCTCGATTTTCCAGGGAATTTTATCACATTCCATTATGATTAATACCCTGGGCCTAATTCGCTCTCAAGTCACTAGTTTGGCAAACAAACATTCACTCGCCCATGGACATAGCAGTACATTACCCTTTCCATAAACATAAGACGTCTATCCCTGCTAAAACCAACAATTGTAGGGTTCCAACTGTATCATAAGCATATGTTTATGAATCATTATCAAATACAGGAAAATGCCTGTCGGTAGTTAGGCAAAAAAAGCAATTCAATTTTTTTCAATTTCTCCTCCGCTACAGGTCGGCTGGTTAACAAAAATGGTTTAATGTGGCAGAAGAGCCTGCAACACAGCTGTCGCTTTAAGCAAACCTGACGAATCAAGCGGAAAGCATACATCCTATGAATTTCAGAAATGACAACAAACTATATTTTAACTCCGATGTTTATCATATATGACCCTCCAGGAGATAAGGGACCTTACGGGTGAAAAATCATATTTTGACTTTTCATTACCTTTTAAAACAACAGTATCGTCGGCACACGAAAATAATTCACAAGTTTCAATTCATATATTTATTATCGAGATACATGACATCAAACATTTGGACTCATTTCCGACTTACAACTGTTTATGCAATAATTACAGTTTCTATACATAATGTCTGATGAATTGAAAGCAGATATGTGTGCTAAAAGGTTTGTAATAACGTTACATTAATAATTACATTACGAACTAATGAGAGAAAAATAAGATGTGCTGTACAGTCCCCACATCATGGCAATATACACTAAAGTTGACGTAAACGTCTTTATGACGTCACAGCACAATTGTATCCAAGCAGCCATAAGGTCCTTTTTCTCCTAGTAGGTCACAATTATGTCAAGCTAAGTGAGTCTTTGTCAGCTTACCGGCGGGATAAAAAATGGAGCAAAAAATCCTCCCCGTCATTTTCAGAACCTGAAGAGAGTACAAGTTTTAGAGTGTTTGTAACTGCATGCCCGTTATTGAATACCATCGCTTCGACCACAGGAACACGTTATTGGTCAGAAATGTGTTTGACATTAAGCGTTTCATAAACAAATCGACCTGGATATTCATGTAAACAAGACCGGCAAGATGGCGAGTAACGCTCCTTTTCACCCTACTTTTATATAGGGGGGTATATGTTTTTTATATACTGACCAATAACGAGTTCCAGTGGCTACGACCCAAACTATCGCCTCGATCCGTACCTAGGCTGGCGTAGACAGTCTACATCAATCTATTCATTTACCTCAGTATCGGTTTGACACATATAGAATCTCACCCGAGTGTCTTTTGATATCAAATATATCAACACGAGTTGATAAAAGCGGGAAAACTCCGAGGCTTGCTGAGCAATTTTTCCACTTCATCAACTCGTGTTGTTATATTTGATATCAAAAGGCACGAGGGTGAGATTTTATTTATCATCAAATATCATTTCTTAAATTAAAAAAACCCAACAACATTGATTTATAAAAGCGATATCTACAATGTAGATATCGCTTGATCTCACCCAAGCGATATCTCCTGTTGGAGCCAGTTTTGGATGATTAAACTTTATAATAACCTTTCAATGATCGGCCAATTGATCAATGATGACTAACACTGGTTCATCAACAACTTGGCAAGATTTGCGTTCTTTACTGTGCCTGGTTCCATTAAAACATTGCCGGGTTCTTATCGTTACGATGCACACTTTAGGGGGATTGTGTCGTTGTTTGTAATTTGTGTGGCTATTTCTATCAAAATGTGTACATATTCCCCAGTTTGGTAGGTCTCTGCTGGCTTTCTTTGCTACACTACACTTATGAACGTCATATTCGCGATCATGTGACTAGCCTCTCGTCCAATGGAAAATCCGTATATTAACTTCACATTATAAAATTATATTTTGTGGGGCCATTACTTCAAATATTAGGGAAGATTAATACTCATCATATATACCTAATATACGATGGCATAGACAAATGGTTCAAGCATTCGCTCGTCAAGTTAAAGACCTAGGTTCGAATCCCCACAGGCCGTGTTCCGTTATAGCGGTCCATATGGCGAATGACCTTAAAACACTTAATATACCGTGGGATAGACAAGTGGCCCTCGTCACGCCAAATACCCAGGTTCGAATCCTCTTATGGGACTATTTCTGGTGTCCACCGCCGTGATATTGCTAAAAAACGGGGTAAAATCATACTCGTCCACATAATATACATCGTTTGCAGCAGAGAGGGTGTATGGTTTTACGCCGCTTTTAGTAATATTCCAGCAATATCACGTCGGGGGACACCAGAAATGGGCTTCACAATTTGTACCCATGACGGAAATCGAACCCGGGTCTTCGGCGTGACGAGCGAACGCTTTAACCACTAGGCTACCCGACCGCCCCAGAGAGGTGTGGTGATGAGAAAGTGA